GACTAATGGTCTGTAAGAAAAAAGAGAGGTCTTGAGGTGCCTGGGTGGCTCAGTCAGTTAAGCGTCTGCCTTCAGCCCAGGTCATGATCCCGGGGTCCTGGGGTCGAGTCCTGCATCGTGCTCCCTGCTCAGCAGGAAGTCTGCTTCTCTCTCTCTCCCTCGCTTGTGCTCTCACTCTCAAATAAATTAAAAAAAAGAGAGAGAGAGGTCTTGATGTGACTTCTCATGCATCAAGTCGGAAGTTGATGTATTCGTTAGAACTCTTTGGTAACAAGTAATAGGAACCAACTCACACTAGCGTAAGCAAAGGAAAAGAAAAGAATGGAGAGAGATCTCCTGGAACCTAAGGATGAAAATGCAGAATCGAGAAGCCTTCTTAATTCTCCAGCTCATGTTTATCTCTCTTTAGGCATCTCCTTCATTCTTCTCCCTCCTTGAATACTAGCTAACTCTGCTTCCCTGGTTCACATGGTAAAATATGGCTTGCTCTTACCTTCTTCGATTACTTGTGGTTTCTGCTGCATTTAGAAAGTAACTTGCTGGCTCTCAGTCCGATGCCAGCTCCCAGCCCCAGCTGAATCAGTGTCCACTCTCATTTTAGCCAGCCAGTTCAGCATGGATGCCAAGGATGGGGTGAGGAGGGGAGGGGGAGGCTTACAACGGGACAGATATCTCAAGTTCAATCTTACAGTCTTAATCCAAATGTCCAGGTTTAGCCAGACAAACACCCCAAAAAAGAAAAGCGAATGGGCACGTTAAATGGATGTATTGAGCCTCACATGATGTGCCCAGTTTTTATCAGTGCTTCTGAAGTTTCCTCCACTTTGGTCAAACCATTGTTGGTTTCCTGCTTCAGGCTGGAGGGCATCTTGATGGCCTGGAAGCCCCTGTGAACAAGATCACTAGTCTTACCTTCTGCATGTTCCATTTTTCCACATCAAACGTCCTCATTATAAAATTGTGGATTTTCTCATAAAACCACCCTCTGGAAAGAAGCACAGGATTATTATCTCTTCTCCAACAGCGGCTTTTTCTTCTCATAGACCCCTGTAGGTATAAGCTAAAGCTTCCTTCTTATAAGAAATGCTCGTCATAAGAGAGAGATGAATGTGAAAATGCCTTTTTCTAGACCCTCTGTCTACTCCTGCTGCAGGGATTATTTAAACATGAAGAAATTTCATGATGATTTGAAATCGACTACCCCCTCCATCTCCAAGTGCTTCTGGATCACTTCCCCAGCTGTTTAAAAAGTTGTTGAGCCGTTAACTGCTGCTGAGGCCGCTCGGAGCTCCCTTTGAAATAGGGGTCCCCCGGCTGCAGTACGTAATATTAATGAGCAATAAGTGACTACCTGCTGCTTCCTCCGCCTGCCCTCCTGGCCCTTCTTGCCTCCGGAGTGATGGATGCCCCTATCAGCATTTCTATTTCCACAGCTGATCGGACGCCTTTAAATCAGCCTCCTCCAAGAGCACACAGGTTAGGGAAGCTCTTTGCTTTCCTTGGTGCTCTTTGCTCACGTGGCCCCAGTGCACTTCACAAAAAGCAATTCTCATCATCCGGCCCATTATACAGATGAGCAGCAGGGACAGGATCCAAATCCCATAAAAGAGGGAAGAAGTGGGTCCTGAACCCACTTGAGCCCCAGTTTGGGCCAGCAAAGAAGCAAGAGTCCATACTCACTTTCCCAAAACCGAACACATAGTTAAGTATTTCCAAATGCACATGAGCAACTATAGAAGGGTTGTCCTCTTATGCATTTAATGAGAAATTAATGCATAAGAGGACAATTCCTCCCCTTCCCTAAAGGAGCAAAAAAATGCTTTTAAGAATTGTAGTATATAGGATCCCACTTTATAAATCCCAGTTTACTAAATGAGCAGGTTAATTGCTACGAGAAAATGAAAATATGATTTTGCTTTTTTCATTTCAACAAAAGTAAATGGCTGATTTCCACACGCATTAACACATGACCCAATTTCCAGTGCTTGGTTAAAGGGTTAAGTTGGTTTCTTGCCCACCCCCCATGTCATTGGGTTGAACAATCATGGCCTTGACTGTTCCTTGAAGGAAGCGTTATGTGGGAATGGAAGCATAGCACCAAACCCATATATCGCCACCATGTGCCAGGCACTGCTCTAGACGGTTTGTGTTGACCCAGTTAACCCTCCCAACAACTCTCTGAGGTAGGGACCATCTGATGGATAATGAAGCTGAGAAGTTAAGTGACTTGCCCAAGCTCACACAGCTGTAAATAGCACATACAGGATTCAAACCCAAGCAGTCAGGATTTAAAACCCTGTTATCACCAGGCGAATCCTCTCTATGGTCTATCTGTGTCCCATAGGGAACTCAGGAATTCTATTACTTGTCCCCCACCAAACTAACAGAGCCAAGCAAATGGAACCTCCCCTCTCTGAGGATGATAAATTCTCTGTCTCCTGAAAAGGAGCTAACTTTCCACTCAGCCCCCAGGACTGTTTCAGATATGATACAGAATTTACTTTTCAATTTTGAAAGTCAGTTGTAAATTTGTAAGATTTGGACCTCTGTAATAGTTTTTTTTTTTTTAATGTCCATTCCACGGACCAGTCCATCAGCATCCCAAGGGGTGTTTGTCTCAAACATGGAGGCTGAGCGCCACCTAGACTTACTGACACAGTCCCTAAGGGTAGATCCCAGGAATCTGCATTTTTAGGAAGCGCCCCAGTGATTCCTATGCAGAGTAAAGGTTGACAGTCATTATGGAATCGCATCTGGAAGTTTTCGGAGCTCTGCATATCATCAGTTCAACTGCAGATGATTATAGAAAGCTTTCAAACCCTCTCCGCATTCAGTAGCTATTTCAGGGAGATTGTAATGTGTAAGAAGTGTTCCAAATTGTTGTAGTCTCCGTCTGTGTGAACCAGCTGGTTGAGAGAGCTTGGATAATTTCCCAGGGGACTTCAGTGAAGTGGACCCTGGTATAGTCTTTACCTATGAAAATATAGAAAAGACACTGTCTTCCACCCTGGACCCAAAGTGACTCTTTCGGAATGCGATTCTGATCATCTCTCTTTTTTGCTGAAAAACCCTTCCAAAGAGCCTTGACGTCAACTTGCATATACTGGCCATGCCCATCTCTCCCGCTTTTCCGTCAAACATGCTCACTCACCGCTCCGTTCTTCCAATGCTCCAGGTACCACAGCAGCATCACCCATGGCTCCGGGGCATAGCATGGACCTCAGCATCTAGTCAGCATCCACTCTCCCTTCAGAGCTCAGCTTAAGTGGCTCTTTCTCAGGGAAGCCCTGAGAATAGAACATTCTGTTCTCTACCACTTCTAACCCATTCCTGCATGGCGCCCACCAGCTTTCCAGTTGCTTTTGACTGTGTGATGCCATTATTCACATCTGTCTTCACAAGCAGGTGATAAGCAAGAACCATACTGTCTTGTGCACTTTGGTGTCTAGCAGTGCCTGTTGCAAGTTCAAGTAACATCCTGTTGGAAAGAAAAGTCTTGATTCTCAGTCTAAAATTTAACATCCATTCTATAAACAAAGATTTCACATTTTTCATTTCCACCCCTATCATTAAGCAGCTGTGGGAATGGAAAGCCCAAACCCCAGACTTCTTTATGTGTTCTAGATCCCTTTAATGAATACATCAACAGCTCTGATCCTGATGCTGTTTTTGAATTGCTCATAGTGTGGTTATACACTCATTCGTGGTTAAAAGAAAACTTAATGGAAGTGGAAATTTTTTATTTTGAAGAGCCACAAAGTAACTAATTATCTATTTCCTCTTTCACTTCAAAGGCTGAAATGGTTTCTTATTATTGAATAGGGCAGGGAGCACATGACCCTAATTGGTGATTAGATGGGGTTTATTTAATTTTATTTTACCACCACTTTCAAGTGAACCTTTGGTCAGCTGTATGAACTAGCAGGCTTATCTTTTGTGAAAATGTTCTCTACAGGAGGCACATCTTATTCCCACAGTCATTTGATCATAATGACACTTGGTTTTAGGCTAATTTTGTCACGAAATGATGAATTCTAAGTGTTCCTAAATTATAAATATGTTAAAAGCCAGAGTTGTTCATCTCCTAAGACCTACGTAGCATTTTGCAAACTGTGGACATTTTAAATTATTATAAAACACTGTCTTCTGGGTATTTGAACTCAAAAAATCACATCCCACATAATACATATATATCAAAATCTAGCAATTACAAGTGGTTGTTCCCCCACGAGTTTTTTTTTTAATGCCTCCCTGAGGAAGCAAGTGCCAGTGACCTCCCAAATTCTCTCTTGATTAAATATAGGTCTCATTTTATGCATTACCGCGGAAAAGAATGAGAAAGATTCAGGCAAGCTAGTGAGCAAAGCAGTCCCGAGGATTATGGATCACGCCTCGTACAGTTTAGATTACACCTTCCTCACATGGTCGCCTTCCAAAACTGAAAATCTCACATTCATATCAGAAAACTCTGTGGGAAATGATAGATCATATTAGCTAACAATTGCGATTCATGCCTACACTATTCTTAACACTTTTATATGAATTATCTCCGTCCACACAACAACCCAAGGAAGTAGGAACTGTGAGTAAGCCCATTTTACAAACGAGAAAAACGAGATAGAGTGTATCACGGCCACCCAGCCCTTTAGCGATTTTGGAACCAGGATTCTGACTCAGTCAGCCCGGCTGCAAAGCACCCACTCCTACCAATCAAACTCGACTACCTCCCATACACACTTTATTTAAGAACAGTGAATCAGGACGCCTGGCCCTGCGTGCTTGCTTTCTCTATTTTACCTTTCGAGGATGGGGGTGGGAGGCGCGATTTGTTTTGTTTTGGCGGAAAGGAGAAGCCGAGAGTGAGCCTTCTTTCTTTCCGAACATCTTTTTCCAAAGCCATTTGCCTTCATCTGAGGAGGAAGGACACTGATTCAGAAGACAGAGCACTAATGAGCTTCCTTCCCCCTCTGTCCCCTCCCCCATCTCTCCCCACTCTGCAGTTAATAGCCAAGATCCCCACCATCACGGCGGTCTGCAACTTGCACGGGGAGAAGCTGCAGGTATTCAAACAATCACATCCAGACATAGTGAATACACTCTTTCCTCCATTATACAAGGAGCTCTTTAATCCTGACTGTGCCACCGTCTGCAAATGAAGGCGACCAGAGGATTCTCTCCTAGTCATGGAATGCATCACCATTAAGACAAAAGCAATGTGTTCATGAAGACTTAAGAAAAAATGTCTACTGCAACATTAGGAATGTCCTGCACTTAATAGAATTATTTTTCACCGCTACAGTTTGAAGAATGTAAATATGCACCTGAGTGGGGCTCTTTTATTTGTTTGTTTTTGAAATGACCATAAATATACAAATAGAGGACACTGGGTGTTATCTTTTTTTTTTTTAATTTTATTTTATTCGGGTATGTTTTGGGAGACAACTGTTTATAGAATTTTATTGTAGATATATACGAGAACAGAGCGGTACTTTACATGATTACTTTTCCTGTTAATTGTTCAAATATAATTTAAGAAAATTCCACTTAATAGGCTTACCTATTTCTATGTTTTTAGATAGTTGATGCATGTGTAAATTTGTAGCTGTCTTGGAAAGCACTGTGCATGTATGTAATAAGTATATAATATCTGAGAATATTATATATGACTATTACTTACACCTGCACATGCACTGTGGCTTAAAATACCATACCCACTAGCGAAGGAGGTTCAGTCAGGCTCTCTCATATTATTTCCCTTCTGTGTTATATGTTACCTTTATGTTAGACAATCAGGATTTTGTTTTCCCAGCCAGACTTTTCAACTATCGTCTACGGCAGGATGGTACCAATTCAGAGAAGTCTATAAAGGAATAAATATAACGCACAGCCTCTGTATAAGAACTCTAGCTCTATCAGTGACATCAAAGCCTTGTCAGGATGGTAAATATTGAGGGGGGTGGGGGGAGGTATTTGGAAGCCATTTTCCTGTTTTAAGAATTAGGCCACAGATAATATTGTGGAGTCCAGGACTTCTTTTAACCAAACAGTCACTGTTTCCTATCTTTCACCAGGACACGCAAAACACTTCTTTTTTTCCTTTGGATTTCGGGCTGGGAAAGAAACTGATTTTGGTGCTTATTGTATCTTCAGCAGAGAAATGCAGTCTGTAGGTTTGACCACCAGCAATTTTTTTCTAATAAAATTAGAGTCACAGCAGAAATCAGAACCCAGGGTCCGGATGCCATTTCATGTAAACATGTTCTCTCTAACCTGTTTTGTTTTGGTTTGGGTTTTTGGGGGGGCTTTTTGGGGTTTTCTTGTGTTGTTGTTGTTGTTTTTTGTTTTTGGCAAAGAAGAAGTAGAAAGAGCACCTACAAAGTAAAGAAGCAGTTCTTTATGTGCATTCTCTTTGCTAAGTTTGTTAGAAAACGCAGCAATAAAGGGGGAGGCAGGATTTTATATGTCCTTCTAGTGTGGGGCCTCTAATTTCTCTCAACTCCAAAATGCTGTACTGTAAGCACAGAGCAAGAACTCGACAGATCTGAGTTATTCTGTAGAACTAATACACCCCAAAGCCAAAACTATTTCCTATGCAGTTTGACATTGCATCATCCATCTAGCGTGGGCTTACTTTTTTTTAGCAACTTGCACAAAGTACAGAATGCAAGAGGCGAGATGAGGTTGAGTGAATTCAGACTTCCTAGGACAAGTGTTCCCGCTCCACCTGCTCTGCAAGCCAGCTGAGGACCAGGAAAACAGAAACCCCAAGCAGCCTGTTCGGCCTGAGCTCTGGAGGCCCAATGCCTTGGGTCGTAGCTGACCCCAAACAAGAGTAGTTAAAAAAGGAAGCTAGAGCCGAGCTTTGTGTAAAAGACAATGACATGCACCATCTCCCGTAAGCGTAAGCGTAGCCCAGCCGCGGACTCACGAGGCCCCGCCCTTTCCTCATCAAACACGCACGCACACCTGCTTCGTAAAGTTTCCATCAGTGGAAACTTTGATTTCCTTTTAATCTCTGATGCTCTCCTAAAGTTACATGGTCTTAAGAGCCATCTCCGCGATGCCACAGAACCCCTCCTTCACGATCAGACCGTAGTGCTAGTCTTTTCTTCTAGAGGACAGAGCCTTTTCGCACCTCATGATTGATGAATTCCAAACCCATGGGGAAAAACAAAAAGGCTTTAAAATAATGACTCTCTTTCTCAACTACTGTTATATTCAATTAATTTAACTACATTGAACCAAATTACCTTCGGTGTCTAAGAAGACAGCTGCAGACTGCATATTATGCCGCTGCAGGGACTTGGTTGTTTCTGGTGTAAATGTCACTCCTGCTAGCTCTTTGTATAAAGAATTAATTCCAAGAGTCATATTTCCTTCTAATGGAAAGATTACTTTACTGATTGCTAGGAAAACAGGGTAATGGAAGGCGCTCAATTAAACCAAGCCGTTTCCAAATGCAATGTATGTTTTATGATTGGCTTGTGATAGGCAATGCTTAATGTGTCTACTTGGTGTTTCCCTTTGAGCTTTGAACTTATGTCAGACTTTGTTTTCATTGTTCTGTTGGCCTCGTGTTTTCCGTTGTCGGCCTGTAATTCCTGCTCCGTTGCAAAGGGAATCATTTGTTTCCTCCAGTCCACCTTAGAGGATTTAAATTGGCTCAGTTGATGAAGTGGCTGAGAATTTTTTCCTTCCCTGTCCCATGGGTGATGTAGAAAAAGGATTGCTCCCCACATTTGCCTCAGGAGGTCCTGGATTTGAGTTTGTTTGCCATTTCCACTAGTGCAAGCATTTCACTGGGATGGCAGGAACCTTTTGAAGCGAGGGGACAGGAAACAGCTAGCGATTGAATCAGAACAAAACAGTGGAAACCAGTACGTGCTCAGCCCGCCTCAGCAGAGAAGAGAGATGTCCATTTTGCGCCCCAGTTGCCAAATCTGTCCCTGAAAAGAGAACCCGGGCATATTTTCAGTGGTAACAAAAGCCTTTAAAAGCTGCCTTTGGAACATCTCCTATGACCCCATCTCAAGGTATTTTGAAATTTGGTAGAGGACAACTTTCTGTACCACATGCCATCTTTGTCCCTTCCCAACACCTTCACGCTACAATGCGCACTGGACGAAAGAACCCGTGAGCTTCACTTCATGCTTCGTAAATGACAATCACTGCTTGATGCAGATGTTGCACTGTATCCACTCAGGGATGTTTCATTTAAAAAAAAAAAAAGTACATCAAGGAGGAAGGGGAAAAAAAACAGGAAAATGACAACAAAACGTAAACGGCATAAATTAAATATGCCAACAAGAGAACCTCTCTGACAAGGCTTTCAGAACAATAAGCAGTAACTCTGTGCTGTTAACTGTGTGGACTTGCTGGAAAGTTGCACATGAATAAGGACAACTTGGTCTCATTTTCTAAAATCCGCTAAGAGCCAAATAATCCAGCTTCCCTATTAATGGGAATATGCATCTCCCGAGCAAACCCAAGCTTCCTAGACAAGTCCTGAGCAGGGAAAATACAGAAATCTTAGGGGCGTTAGCGGACTCTGCCAAGAGAGGTACAGTTGTGTGAATTTGAATTCCAGTGTATCTGTGATCTGGAAAAGGAAAGGCAAATTCTGGAAGGAATATAGAGGAAGGGATTCCAAATCTGGCTTGATACGCCACACATATTCCTATTGTCCACAACTTAGGTCGTCTTTGTATCCCTTATTCTGTGGCTTCCCCCCCTTCCCCCCAGAGAATGAAAGCTGAGGGTAGAGATGTACTCTACAAACATACCCTTTCTGGATTTCCCTCATTTGAATACTGTCTTCAGGGTTCTGAAATAAAGGACCACTGTGTAGGTATAAACAGAGATAATAGTGGTCTCTTGGTTAATGTGACTTCTTGGGCAGAATCTGTGACACCTTAAATCACAGTGAACTCTGGACATTATTAGCAAGAGGTGCCAGGGAGACATCAGGACATTTCCTATCATAGCTGCCTTGTCCAACACCTAACTTCACAGCAGTCAAGCTAAATTGTTTGTAGAAAACCACACACATGACTAGTCAACTCACGCTCACTCTCCACAATCCCATGTGTACCAGGCTTGAATGCAAAAGCGATTCTTCTGTCCCAAGGACAACCTAAAACTTAACGAGTTTTTGAAAACATTGGTCAGATGCAAATGATGTGCGTTTTGTTGCATGTGCTTTGTTTCCATGTATTATAGAAGCAAGGAAAAATTCCACTGCTGTTGGAAATTAGAAATAACTTTTTCCTGACTCTCTTCTCTCTGTAAACGTGTGCTTCCAGTGAAGTTCCTACAGTTGGCAGTAAACTCAGGCAGGGATGCCTGTGCCCTGACAGAGCCACCGTCCGATAGAACAGCAATAACTTGAAAGTATGCATCTGTAGTGAACCTTTGCACAGAGTCCCCTGTATCAAGAAGTTGAAAAGTCCACCATCTGCTTTAGATGAAGTGATATTTAATTTTTTGTTTCCAACTGCCAATAAAAGCAGCAGGCTGGTATGGGAAACCAGGTGGGTCATTAGACAGGAGTTGACAACCTATTTTGTGGAAGGGCGCGAGGACAGGTCTCAGGACCCAGAGGCACATGTTCATTTGAAGCAAGGGTTAAAAATTCAAAAGCCTAAAAGGGCCAGGGAGTTGAAGCAAATGAGCGAGAGCAGTTCAGCGGCCAGCCGGCAAGGAAATGCCCCATCTGAAAAGGGACATCCCAAGGCCAGCTAAAGCCCAAGTGTTGCTAACACTTCTGAATCTTATAAAATCTCCCTAGTTGTAAGTGATGTCAGTTGATTCAGAGCTGAGGGCAGACCAAACAAATACATCTCTGAGAAGAGGGTCCACGGTCTGCAACCTCTGGTTTAAAGCAAAATTGAATCTAGGGGCCTGTTTCCTGGAGTAAGTCTGGCCAGACAGGACTCCGAATAAATTAGAGAGGGGGGTGGGGGTGGGTGCGGAGCTCTTGCCCACTGATACTCAACTTGGTTTCCACATCTGACTGTCACTCCCAGAGGATATAGTAAGAGTGTAGGGGGGAAAAAAAAAGGCATCTAAAAATGCAAGCGATTCAATTTAACGATGGCTTATGAGAGACATTTCTATTTGTCTTGCCCAGACTCCTAGCTTCATAGAGCCAGGTGGCTAGGTTTCTTGCCACTTTCTTCTTGTCAAACGCATGATCTTTACGCTTTTGAGTCTCGATGTGTCTCTTTGGATACGTGGCTTCGATATCTGTGACACGTGTTTACTTTCCCTTAGTTGTATCTGCAGAATGTATTCTGTAGTCATGATCACGCAGTCCTCCATGTTCTGAAGTGCGGGACCTGGGATTCCTATGCAGCTGATGGAGGTTGTCTGTTTGTGCACTTTTTGCCTAAGCTGCTGAAAATCCTCCGAAGTGAATTGGCCATAGTAATCTTTGCCTCCTGCATGACTGTAAGCACGACCTCCAGTGGATCAGAAAAAGCAGTTCAGTGATTGTTCTCATGGCCAAACTAAAGCACAAGGTGACCGGCATTGAATAGACCCAGTTGAGGGAGGCGCAGAGTGTCCACACCCCAGCTGGGCAGCATGATCCTTCTTTTAAACCCTACTCTTCTGGCGGGGGCTGGTGGAGGGCATCTGCGTGCCTCCATCCTGAGCACATGCACACACACGTTAGGTATGTCTGAAAAGCTACAGATCGCACATCCAAGCACAGTACTGTCTGCTTCATTTGAGGAACACACACACACACACACACACACACAGAGTGCAAACTACACCCACAGAAAACTGAGTATGTATTGTAGAAATGTAGAGGAAAAATAAAAATATTTTTTCAAATGTAATTACTTTTAATATATGCTTGTGGAAGGTCTAATACAATGTATGCTGTCTCTGTAATTTTTGCTGTAAATAACTGGAGACAGTGAATACACTGATTTTTCTATGTCTCTGTTTAAGCTTAAGACTTTGTAACAATTTTTTTAGAGGGGGAAAACCAACAAAGAGCAAATATGTACTTGCTTCCTTTCTGCGTATTCTGCGTGTTATGTACTTTTCAGAAACTGGTTGTTAACCGTTTAAGCATCTTGACGGGTCATTGGTGTTAAGTGTATGCTTCTTTTTGTAATACAGCTGAGAAAGGGACAGGGCTGTCCATTAAATCTGCTCCAAAGAATTTGTACTGAAGACCGGCCCAAGACCTGCAAACACTATCTGAACTAGACAATGTGAGGAAAGAAAGTTTAAAAAAAAAAAAAGTTGCCTCAGTAAGTCATCTTTCCTTATAGCAAGTGGCTTTGTCCAGATCCTTTCTGCATGGACTAGCTTAAGGAACAGAAACCCTGCTTTCTGATGAACAAACTATTTTTGTACATGTTGATTTCTTATGAATAACCTGAGGTCAGATCACTCATTCGCTGAAGCCATAACTGACCTTCACCAAATAAATGTTGTGAAGAACCTGGGGGAGGGTTGGGGAGACACGGAGAGGGAGGAAGATCGAAGGTGTCATGAGCTGTAACCACACAGGCAGGAGCAAGTCTGATGAACCTGATGCTTTTCCTGCATCCCAAATATGACTTTAAAAGGCTAGTATTTTATGATGATCGATTTATAATAAAAAAAAAAGATATTTAGATTTAAATGAGACTTTCCAATATTTTTTAAATCCCTGACAATGCTTCCCTGCTTTTAGGATTGAGAGAAACGATTTTCATCTACTTCCCACATTCAGAGATTTGATTTTTATGTTAGCTCCAGCCTACACGTGTAAAGTGAAAAACGACTGCAAGTCCTCCAGCAGTTGGAACCATGGGCTGCCAGGGGGCTCGGCTGCGCCTCCCAAACAGGATGCACCTAGAGGGGCCACCGTGAAGCGCAGTTGATACGTCTTATTAGCATGCACACCACGGTTGGCAATGCACAAACGTTGCACTGCCAAACACATGTAAAATAAAAGTATTCACTCTAAGACGCATAATAATTATACTTTTTTAAAAGAATAATGCCTCCTATAGTCACCATTGATTTTTCTGGAGCTTAATCACATTATTACCATGTATTATTATTGGCCTATAGAGGCAAAAGGCAAACTACAAATAAACCCCGTGACATCTAGTTTTAAAATCTACAATTTTCTGATCTCTCTCTCCTTGTTTAATATATAAGCCCTAATTTCTGTGTACGTGAGTAAAACTGCAGCCTGAGTCATTTAGGAAGTAAGCATTGAGTTGTTTTTTTTAATTATTATTATAAATATACTAGAATAAAACAGCACTCCCTAACAACTAAAAAAAAGAGTTTTATATTACTTTAGAATGTAATAGGTTTTTGTCCTTATTTTATGTCCTGTAAATTATTAGTTGAATACTGTTAGCATTCCCAGATAATGCACACATGATTTCTGAATGTTTTCTGTAAATGACAATCAATGTTTATGAAGTTCCCTCCTTTAATGCTGAACAAAATTAAAAGAAGAAAAAGAAAAAAGTCTCGCCTAATCATTTTCTTTCCCCTGACAGGGAACAAGGAGGGGATGAAGGAGATAGACAGATTTGCCTTTGAAAACATTATCCCATGGGCTCTTAAGTTGCCCTTTCTCCAGGATCTAATGGATAATTCTTTTCTGGAAATTCCTGTGTCCTCATGGACCTGGCCTGGGTTAGAAGTGCTCACTGAGAAAAGACCCACACTTCACCGCAGTCTTGTAGCTCACCAAGTTGCAATTAAAATACGAGCAGCAGCTCTCAAAGATGGTAGCTCTCCTTTTCTAGAACTTTCATAAAAGGAGGCCCCAGCCAGCAGAGCCATGAGCAACTGCTCTGCAAACATTTTGTTGGAACAAGTCGCCACAGGCTTGCAAATAGATGTAACAATCCCTACACCTGATAAAAGCTTTCAGATAATAAATAATTGATGACTAAGTCTCTAGGTCTGATTTTTTTTTTTTAAACAAAGCAGCACCAAGCTACTCCGCCACCAAAATCAATGCCCACTAACATATGAATACTCTGAGTTTTAGGTGAAGATATAGTAGAAAGTCATTGAGGATAATCACAGACTCACAGAGATGCTGAAAAAGGCAATTCTAAGAGAGGCTGTTGATTTTTTGGGTGCTTGGAGGCCCTTGGGGTTGGGGTCCCTAGAGCTGAAATGCTCCACTAGTAGTTTAAACAAGATTTAACAGATTTTGCCCTGGTCCACACAACAAGATGAGCCTTACAAAGCCATAATTATGTCTTTGGAACCAGTAGTGACCCATGCAGTGTGTTTCGAGCAGTGTCTCTATTCCAGACATCCAGATCCCACGTGGCCTTGATCAGAGAACACAGAAACAGAGAACTGCCCCCATCTTTCTGTTAGAGCACCATTGTGTCCCATGGTTTCTAATCAGGTCTTCAAATGACTGGTCAGAGACAGCAAATATATGATCTCAAGCTATTCCAGGTTCCTGTCAGTTTCCATCAACAACTGATCACAAAACTCTTGACTGTAAAATTATCTAATATTTTCCCCCAGAAACCTAGATCTAGGCAGCATTAAAACACGGAAGGAAACCACTTTTAAACTCTGGTTGGACCATAGAAAATGACAGTTATTAACCTTCGATAGCATTATTAAAAATTACGAATGAAGCCATTTTTGTGCCCAAAGCACTGTTCCATTCCTAGATCCTCTTCCCTATTAAGAGTAAGAACTGGCAACATGTTTCCATAATCACACCAAGCTGGTGTGCATAAGACATTTCAGATACCGAAGGAGTAGCCAGCATTTGGCCCCCATCCCACATGGCAAACAGCTCCTTGACCCAATTAGAGAAGATGTAGAAGTGAAGCAGACCCCCTAATGCCATCTTGGTGGGGGAACGGGGTGTCTCATATGCCCAAGTCACCATGCTATACAAGCTTTCTCTCACTATTGTCTGAACTTGAACTTGCTAAGTTTAACTGGTTGAATAAATACTACTATAAGATACTATAAAATTCTTTACAGCTCTGTCTCCCAGATCTTTAAATCTCCCAAGTTCATGAAGCAGGGCATGGCATTGTGTAAGCACTCAATAAATGTGTCAACTACATGTACTGAGATCCGGTCTCCTTTTGTAATTTTAGCTTCCCAACTATTTGCTGTCATTTCACTGGTTTTACCCTGGAGTAAATGACCCTCTTGAAGAGGCATCAGATTTAGACATGCTTTTTTACCATAAGCAGTGGAGAGGGGAAATGGCAGCCCCTTGGCAAAAGGCACTGAAAGAATGCTCTTTCCCTTCTCTTCTCCAAAGATTTAGCCAAAAGCAAGGAGAGAAAGAGTCTGAATGACTATTAGTGGTTAAACGTAACTTCCTAGATTTTCACAGAAGACTGAGCCGGGCAGGAAACAAAAATAGAGAAATCAGGGAGCCCAATTTGTAAAATAAATTGGACATAAAAGCCTGGGTTTGGCATATCCCTCTCAAATTCCCCCAGTCTGGTCTGATCAAGTCACAAAGTCTCAATCAAAAGGAAGAGAATCTGGAGAACTAATCACTCCTTGTGCTATTTCACTGTACAAGTAAGAAATTTTAGAGAAGTCACTGCTTTTTAAGAGACGGAAATTATTATAGTTGTACTCATGCACTCCTGATGCAGCAGTCAAAATGGGGAGCCCAATGTCACATGTCACCTTCATCACTGGACATTTTGCATGTGGCCAGAAGATGAGGCAAGCAAGAGAGAACATGTAAGATTACATAATAGGTTTGGACAGAGTAGGCTTATCCACCTTCCACCAATCAGAATTAATCCCATGATGCCACATAACAGCAAAGGTTATGGGAAATGTAGTCTACTTGTGTGCCACAGAGAAAAGACACCAGGTTTTGGAAACACTTAGCAGTCCTGACACAAATGTGAAAAGAATCCAAGAGAGTCTCTAATTTCCTATCAGGTACTGTAACAAACATTTATTCAACAAATATTTACTTCCACTACTATATGCCAGGCACTGTTCACTGGAAATCCAAATCATGAAATATGACAGATAAAGACTCTGCTCTTATGGTCCAAGAAAGGTGGATATACAAGAGGACAAAGACATAATATAAATAACTATAAAAGGGAAATTTTATTACAACCACTACACTAACTACAAAAAAAAAAACATTACAAGATGCTCCTATACATGATCATTTATTCACTATTTAACTCTACTGTTTGAACTCATTATCACTCAATATTCACCCATCATTGCTCATTGTTTAAAAAAAAAAAAAACAATGTTAATTATTTAATTAATTTCTTAATAGTGAAACAAAATCTTCCTTCGCCTATCTTTTACCCCCGGTTATAGCTGGTTCGGCTCATTGAGACTAGGCAGAGCAAGTGTGTGTCCAAACCTCTTTGTCCTATCAAAGCCTTAAATAAAGTACATCTTTCACTCCTGACTCCTGGTCTTCCTTTTCGCAAACTAAAAATTCTCAGTGATCCCAAACATCTCTGGCAACGTAATCTGCTCATAGAGACAAGTATTGTTCATCTGAAGAATCTCTTCAGAACCAGCAACACAGATCAATGACATGAGGGGCAATTACAGATTCTCTCTATATCACCGATAGGAGTCGTCTGTGCATTTATAACATGGCTTTTACAGACGCCTGAGTTTTAAAAATGTAGGTTTTGTTACTCTTCAGGTAGGCAACAGATCAGGAGAGGATTACCCCTGAAAGGAGTTGGCTGCAAACAGTTCCCAAGAGAAGGGGGCACCCATGCCATGCCATGCAAGGCCACGTGGGGAAGCACCAGGTTGGTCAGGAGGCAAAGGAGTGAGGGAGAAACCCAGGAAAGAGCTTTTCTTGTGGTTTCCATGGCAAGGAACTGATGAGGCAAGATAAATAGGTTTAGGGTTGGCTAATTTGGATAACTGGATTTGGATCCTTTCAGCTGGCTCTGGAGTTTAGGAAGTATCTCCTCTCCTCCTCAGTATCTGGCCCTGGGGGATTAGGGTGGGGGGATAGTGAGCAGAGTGTGAGAGCTCAATAAAAGAAGTGGTTGGGGCAGGGACTCTGAATTGGTCACTATGCATTTGAAAGAGCCCACTCAGGGGCATCACTCACTATCCTAGGAACTGGTTGGCCCTGGGAGTGGGCAAGTCTTTAGTCTTTGCAGGGTCAGGCCACAAATGTCAAAGCATCACAATAAAAAGACATGCTTAATACAAATTGATTTGTGCACATTGACCCACAAGGGAAAATACCAGATCCCAAATCTTACACATGAAGAACAGAACAATTTCTGTCTTTCGTGGAAAGATATTTTTTGAGATAATCCTCTGTGTTTTTCCATTTTCCCTCCTCTGGGTTCAGATTCACACCTTAGGTTCCTTGTCATCCCTTCCTTCAAGGACTTTTACAAGGTAGAAAACTGAGTCCCAGGCTCCTGAGTCCCTGCCCCAGCAAAGATTATTCTTTCTCACATAGAGCCTCAAGGAAGAGAATTTTCATCTTCAAGGTGTAGATCATGAAGAAATATGCAGTGATTATGCTGACTGGAACACACACACACACACACACACTTACTCCCAATTTCTAGGCACGACAGAGACCTCCCTGTGAGGGGGGCACCGTGATACTTCATTCAGCTCTTATTAGGCACCTACTATGGCCAGACAGTGTGTCAGTCATCACAATAAGAGTCTGCTAGGGCTGCTGTGAGCAAGAGCCACAAACTGGGTGGTTTAGTGAGAGAAATGTATTATCTCCCAGTTCTGGGGGCTCGAAGTCCAAGATCAATATGTCGGCAGGGTTGGTTCCTCTGAGGGCTGTGAAAAAGAATGTTCCGTGCCTCTCACCTAACCTGTCAGGTTTTCTGGAAATCTTTGGTGTTCCTCAGCTTATAGAAACATCATCCCGATCTCTGCCTTCCTCTTCACCTGGCATGTCCCCTGTGTGCACGTCTGTGTCCAGATTTCTCTCTTTTAGAAGTCATATTGGATTAAGGCCCATATTTGAATCTCATTTTAACTTGATTCCCTCTGTAAAGTCCCTATCTCTAAATAAGATCACATTCTGGGGCACCTGGGTGGCTCAGTCTGTTAAGCATCTGCCTTTGGCTCAGGTCATGATCCCAGGGTCCTGGGATCGAGCCCCATGTCAGGCTCCCTGCTCGGCGGGAAGTCTGCTTCTCCCTCTGCCTGCCGCTCTGCCCACTTGTGTGATCTCTCTGTCAAATAAATAAATAAAATCTTTAAAATAAATAAAAAATAAATAAGATCACATTCTGAGGAACCGGGGGGTTAAGACACCAACCTCTCTCTCTCTTTTTTTTTTTAAGGGACACAATTCAGCTAATAAAAATTAGGGAGAGAGTCATGAACAGACAAGTTTCTTCCTCTCAGACAGTGTGCATTCCTCTGATATTCTGTTAAGTTCCCACCCATTCAATGAGAGGATACTCTAAACTGATCTCAAGAAAATAAAGGTTTTTTCCTGAATGTCT